GCAAGGCTATCTGTTTACTTAAAAAAAAAAAATTGATATAAGGCTGGTGACAGTGGCCATATTGATATATTCCATGGTTATACATGGGATAACCACCTTGAATGTGTATATTTTTTAATTAAGTTATTTTAATTAATAAATTATTGTGGAATCTTCACTAGAATATCAATAATGGTTTTTTTTGTTGTTGTTGTTGTTTTGGTACAAGGTTTGTTGAGATTCATTCACTTACCGTGAAAGTCATGTTCTAATGTATTTAATTCAGAGATGGTTAGTATATCACACTTGTGCAGCCATCAGAACTCTTTACTGCTTGGGCAATTTTATCACTTCCGAAAGAATCCCAATGCCCATTAGCATTTATTCTCCATTCACCTTCCCCATTCCTTCACAACACTTAATCTACTTTTTATGTTTATGCATTTAGGTAAATAAAATCATACAATATAAATTTTTTTAATCTGATTTATTTTTCTGAGAGTATGTTTTCAGAGTTTGTACACACTGTAAACCATTTGTCTTGTATATTTGAACAGGCTGGGGTAGAAAAATGAAGTGGTGAATATCTTATCTTACAAAGAATAAAGACGAGTGCTTATTTTCTTTTTAAGTCTGACCAAGTTAAGTTGACCTCACAGACTTTATTATTTCTCAACGTCCTAGTTATTAATCACATTTCAGCTCATGCAACAGTTTTTCAGTGCTGCATTGCTCTGTTATTACATTCTCTCTGAGTATATTATATCAGATTATAATATTCAGAAAACTCTTATATTTATTACTACCAGATTGAAAATTCCAAGGGGGCAAAGGCAGTATTTGTCTTCTTTGTTAAGATATTAGCATTATCCAGTGCAATTTTTAGAATACAGTACACCATAAATAAGATGAATAAATGGATAAGTAGAGGAGTTAATATGTACAAATATTATTCTAACATACTTTTCCATAATGTAACAAAATAGGATAGAATATACTAATGAATATCTATCAAAAGATAAGAAATAAATCGATTTTCAGATTCATATCAAAGATAATACTATTATGTTACGGTTTAAAATCATTGTACCATAATTTTTATGGAATTGATTGCAGTTGTCTTGGGTTTTTTAATATAAACCATTGAAAGAGGAAGATTCCTATGTAAAATGATGATGAAGAGGTACAAGGCTTAGAATAATGAGGCTGTTCTTGCATATAAGCTGAAAATAAGTGAAGACTGGGTCAGTAATAACATTGCTTTGCTGAATTAAGAGAATTCTAATAAAGTATTTTTAGTTGGGAAGCTATCTGTATTTAAAAAAAATTGATCTAAGGCTGGTTATATGGCCATACTTATAATCCCAGTGCTTTGGGAGGCCAAGGCAGAAAAATCACTTGAGGTCAGGAGTTTGAGTTCAGC